CCCCCCCGCCGCCCTCTGTCGACCAGCCCCGGCCACAGTCGATTACCGCTGATCATCCCTGATTTCCGTTGACCACCGCCGACCGTCCTCGACTGCCGTCGACGACTGCTGACATCCGTCAACCACCACCAATCTTCGGTGACCACCGTCGACCACCACCGACCACCGCCGACCACCATCGACCACCGTCGATCATCGCTGACCATCATCCATCGTCGATCATCGCCGACCACCGTTGACCGTACACCGTTAAACGACACTGTAATCTGAAAATCTAGTAACTATTTACCGTATGTGGGACAAGGAGTCGCTGTAATTATCAACATATAGTATATTTTTATAATTCGGCCAGACCTCATGGTTTTTTTCTTTACGAGTTTTCCAAGTAAAAATTTATGGTGTCATCATTGATTGTTTCACTTTTCATCTGAGTGTATGCTGAATCTTCGTGTAATGCTAAGACGATAATCCATCACTCTACCGCCGCGAATTTTCTAGCACACATCAACCATGTTGGGAGCTTGTTTGAATCTTGCTCAAGCTTGTTCAAGCTGATACCTTTTTTTTAATTGGGGGAACATAAAAATGGTAGTTTTGTTTGAAATGAACTTTTAGAATATTTTAAAATAAAAAAAAAAACAAAGGGAAATTTTATCTAATTGTTCCTATGACATGGCATTAGTATTCAGTCCAATAAATAGAAGAAATTTACATATAGTTTTGTCAGTCTGTTTATTTGTATATGTATGTCTGTAAACAAGTCAAATTTGAGCCAAATTTGAGTGAGTTCGACTTGAATCATATTTGACTGAATCGAAATTAATTATATTCGAAATTGGCTAGTGTTTGAAATTACTCGTGAACAATGTGTTCATGTTTGACTCAATTTACATATTCTTGTTTGTGTTCAGCTAGTATTCGGTTAGAAATTGACTCGTTTAAATTAATTATAAAAATAAATGTAAGGTGTTGACTTCGAACCCGCACAATTTCATATTATTTAAGAGCTAAAATGAGGTGAACACAATCAAATAAATGGTTGTTCGTGTTCCGCTCGTTTATTATTTGAGTTTAAAAAAGTTGTCCGAGGTTGAGCTATTAGCAAATAATAACCTTTTTTTAATAGTCCTGTGTATATATAATATTTTAAAATTTTAATTTAATTTTATCATATATTAATCTTCTGATAACATAGATACTTCATTTGTAATATATATATATATAATTTAGAAATAAGAAAAGAAAAAATCATTGCTGGTTGGACTTGCCCAGTGAACGACGGTCTTAGGGACGACAACGAGCAAACATGCTGTTTTATATCAATTCCTTCCAGTGTCAGGTTATATTTAAATACTCGACTCTACTACTACGGCCGTCATGCATCTACTAAGCATACGCCCCTCCGAAGCAGCGGCAGTGAGCTCTTCCACTCTCCCATGGCGTTCGTGCTATAAATTTCCTCCGCCGTCTCCTCCTATCGCTGTCCCTTTCCCACGTGTTCCTACCTCTCTGCAGTGCGCGTTCGAGATTAGGGCACTGTGTAGGGCGACCTCCGCAGGAATGATGGATGACGGGACAGTGACGGCCGAGGCCGCCGCTGGTGAGATGGTATTTGAACCGATCCTGGAAGACGGCGTCTTCCGCTTCGATTGCTCTGGAAATGACCGCGACGCTGCATTCCCAAGCCTTTCATTCGCCGATCCGAAGGCTAGGGAAACCATCATCACCGTTGATGGCAAGCTCCCGGAGTTCGTACCTACCTTTGAGAGACTATATGACCAGCAGATCGTGAAGATTCAGGTTGTGATATTATAAATTTCGTTCTGGGCAGGCTTTAAAAAGAAACGGGTTATTGAGATAGTAATTACATTTTTTTTTCTTTTCTTGTAAAGCTTCCTCTGGGAACCTCGCTCTATGGAACGGGAGAGGTTAGCGGACAGTTCGAGCGGACTGGAAAGAGGGTATTTTTTTTTTTTTTGACTCTTGATTCAATTGCACACAGTAGCTGATGTTGTCTGCGTTGTATTGATTGGTGTGGTCGTAATTGATCACAGATATTTACATGGAATACGGATGCATGGGGTTATAGCTCCGGAACTACATCTTTGTACCAGTCGCATCCTTGGGTGTTGGCTGTTATGTCTGACGGAAAGGCTTTTGGCGTTCTTGCTGACACCACCCGGCGATGCGAGGTTGTTTTCATTTTGTTGATTCATTAATGGATTGACTAACTTTTTTGTTATCTTGTCTCAAGCTGTATTTTTTGAGGCCTGTTTTTTTGGTTAAGTTAGTTTTTATTTAATTTTAATTGCAGATTGATCTCCGGGAGAGTTCTACTATAAAATTTGTGTCTACAGCTGCATACCCTGTGATCACATTTGGCCCCTTCAAATCACCTACTGATGTTTTGATTTCCCTATCTCATGCAATTGGTTGCATACTTAAGCCCATTTATCTGGTTCCTATTAATTTAATTTTCAGCTGACATTCATTTGAACCAGTCGTATTTGCAGGTTTTTTCAACAAAATTTATCAAAAAAGTCTTAAAAATGATCTAAAGATAACATCTTAATCTAATGTTAAAGCAACCTTCTGATTTTGATGAAGGCTTGTTTGTTAAGATAATTGTCATTCTTCAAGCTTAAAATATGGAATTTATGATTTCAGAAGGAGGCTTTAATATGTGTTTCTCTCTAACCTTAGGAACTGTTTTTATGCCTCCCAAATGGTCGCTTGGTTATCATCAATGTCGCTGGAGCTATGAGACAGATGAAAGAGTTCGCAAGGTACTCTGATTTGTGCAGAAATTTTTGATGTTACCTTGATGCAGCCTTTGAATCGTTTCAAATCTATAATAGATAGCAGTAGTAGGGGTTCTTCATATTGAATCTTTTTGTTGCTGAAAGGAAGCTAATAAAATTTGTATCTTGTGCTTAACAATGATCACGATCAACAGCCTCATCCCTGCTAAATGGGGTTGGAAAATTATCGTGAGTGTTTATTATTTGCTTCTAAGTCATTGGAATTACAATTATTATTTTTGTTTCCCTTTTGCCCTTCTTTTACAGATTGCTACCAATTTCCGGGAAAGAGGCATACCCTGTGATGTTCTATGGATGGACATAGACTACATGCATGGTTTCCGATGTTTTACTTTTGACAAAGTATGTTTTTTGTCACCTGAACTGTATTCCTTTATTTACTATGTTGTGAAACCCTTGTGATACGTTTATAAGGATAAAAATGGTGCCCTCATTATTTAGCAGTTTTTCTCAAAATAGGAAAAGAATGTGCGTGCTCATCAAAAAAATACTTTGAGTTTGGTTTTATGCCAAAATGTTAAAGAAGCTTTATGACTAAATTACGTTTGATATGCTGAATTTCATGTATCCAGCATATTCAGAATTTCATGTATCCAGCATTTGTTAGTTCAGTGTAATGTACCGACATCGATCTAGGTTTTACTCTGAGGATGGTGTTTGGTTGTACAAGGATCTAGGGATATTTAATGAGTGAGATGGACAAATTAACATGGCTGGAAATCCTTGTGGCACAACAGGTCTTGCTGTTGGGCGCAGTAAAGAGGGGAAAAAGGAGGCCAACGGTTGTAGTGAGCTCGGATTTGATGCAGATGGAATTCCAACACCTCTACTCTATGAAGATACAATTCCACCACTTGAAGCTTTAGCACTCGGATTAAAGAGAAAAGAAAGAATAGTGTCCAAATGTCCTAATAATAAAACAAAGTTCTCAAACTGGGTCCTAAACATACATAATTATATGTAGCAAACAAAGATGAAAATAATTAAAAATAATGAAATTTGTTAAAAAAAATTAAATAAATGACTTAATAAACAAATATTAAACAAGATGAAAATAATTTTAAAAAATGTATATTATTATAAGAGTTAATTAGTAATATTTCTATTATAAATATTGATAAACTATTTATTTAAATTAACATGTGTACTTTTCTCATGACTATAGGTGTTTTAAAATAGAGGAGATTCAAAACTTAAAAGCAAATCAATTGATATTGAAATGAGTACTTCTATTCTTGAGTTAAAGTAGCATTTTTATTTCTCTACTAAACCAGTTGTATGAATTGTTATTAACACTTTATTAATGCATTATGATTCCTCTATTCTTAAATTTTATTGGTCATTTTAATGTGAATGTTTATAATCTCTCATTATGAAAAATTTTAGATGTTATAATATTAAATATTAAATATTAAATATTGAATGACATGAAAATATGAGTGTTATTGACTATATAAAGTGATTGTTTGTGCATGCTTGATTATGCTTGTTCACCCCTTTATGGTACTAATGGGAGAGCACTAAGTTACTTATACATATTAATGAAAAATGATATTGATATTGATGTATCTTCATTGTTATAAATTTTAGACGGTGCTCTTGTGATGGTTATATACATTTTAAAAAAATATTGAAATGTAAACATTACGATTATATATAGTTAATGTTTAGAATTACCTTGAATGATCATATTAAAAAATACAAATCTTCAAATGATTTTAGATTGATTTATATAAATTTTAATTGATGCACATATTATTTTTTTTTAATTATGATACTATAATTTAGGAGTATGAATATTCACTGACAATAGTTAGTTCACTGTTGTTTTAAACTAATATTTCAAGTTTAATTAATTGATTAAAAAATGAGCAATAGAAGAAGAAATATTTACTGAAAACACATATAATAAAAAATGAGATAAATTTAATTGTATTAATTTAATTTATTTATATAACGAGTCTTCCATTTTTTAAATGTTAGTCATAGAAAATGAATGTAGAAAAATTTAATTTTCATCCTCCGACCAATTATTCTCGCCTTGATTAATTTCAAGTCCTGGGCCAGTTCTTGACAAACCCTCAAGTGAAAAACAAGTCACCATGCCTTTAAGGAGAATCCCTTGACCATTTATTTCAAAGCTTACCATGAAGGATATGCAGTATGAATCCTCCAAGCGCAGAGGAGGCTCACTAATTTTGAAAGGAGACAATATGTCGAAGTCACCCGCGCCACTTAGGGGCAGAAGATGATGAAAATTCTTTTTCACCAAGAAGCTTCAAATGATGGAGAAAAGGTGTCGCTGCGGTTAAATATTGAGTATAGTAGAATAGAGGGTGACTTTGAAGTGAAGGTTGATTAGTTAGATTTTGATGTTCTTATGGATTTGGATGATTTTATTTGGTGGTTCCAAATTGTGAAATTGATTTTTAAGTATAAGGATATTTCACCTGACAGAAAAGTAGCCACAATCAAACTCAAAATGAGTTCTTTCTTGTGGTGGGAGAACCTAAACCGTTTGTGTCATCGTGAGGGAAAAAAAAAAGATTGTAATTTAGTCTAAGATGAAAAATGAGATGACGGGCAAGTACTTGCCAATACATTACATATATGATGTATTTTTGAAACTTCTCCACTTACATCAGAAATACCTCACAATATAGGAGTATACCTAAGGTTTTGAGAATCAAACTGGTTACTGAACTGGTAAAAAGAGAGGTTCAAGTTTCAAAGGTTGAACTGAGGGTTCAACCGAAGGACATAATAAAGTATAAATTTATTTAAATACGACATAAATGATGTAATAATAACATAACATGTGTAATTTAAGAAAAAGTCATTATGAAATATAAAATAATCACTTTAATATTTAAATGACTATCCTTTTTTTTTGTAACATTTTTGATTATTTAAAATATTTTGTCGTCTTCTTTGAAGAAAGTGATTTTCTGCAAAAAAATATTGATAAAAATAAGTTAAGACCACACCTATGTAAAATTTAAGTAATTCTTAATATGCAATTGCACAAACATATAGACTATAGCAATTTATAACATGCACCATATAATTGAAAAAAAAAGAGTGAAAATGTAAGTCATCATACTTATGCAAACATAATACACCATTAATTGTTGAATATAATACTCAAAACTTGAAACTCAAAAGTTCGCCTTTCCAAAACATAAAATATCAAATATGAAATAAGTATGAAATTTGTCTCCAAATCTCAAAATTTGTCTTTCCAAAACTTAAAATTTAAATTATAAAATATGAAATAAATATGAAATTTGTCTCCAAAACTCAGAAGTTTTTTTCAAAACTCAAAATTAAACTTTATCTCTAATTGTTGCATTCTAAAAGCTCCATCATCATAAGCTGATTGTTCAAAATTTGTATCTTCATATGTATCTCTAAATCTTGAACTTAAAGTACTTCATTTATATTATCAACATATTCATTTAAGTTTGCACACAAAATTTAACAAATAAAATCATTTTTAGCATCAACTATTCAAAAGTCTACTGTCTCGATACTTGCATAGTTCAATAGATCATAAATGTTTTTTTTTAGCTTGGAACCTATAAAATAAATAAGGTGTTTAAATCATAATAATTATTATTATAGATAAATTAATAATAAAATGTAATAACATTGAAAATTCAATTTAAAAAAAAAACATACTTATTCCTCAAATTATGGTTGTATTTAATATACATCAAGTTATTTAATCTTTTGGTGTTCCAAATAATTTCTTCTCTTTTTATGAGTTTGTTATAAAATATTGAAAGCTTGGATCACTTTTCAGGTTGCATTTCTTTGGACATCGCGAGAGTAATAGGCTTTCCAACACTTTTAAATTTATATTCATAAAGCGTAATTTCATTCATCGCAAAATTGGGCTTGCTGCATATATCCTTATCAACAATGGGTTCAACTAATCCTTGCAAAACTTCAAGCTTATGACAAAAATTTTCTTGATCATATTGAAAATGTGGATTTAGAAAATAGACAAGCTGAGTGGTCCTACTAATTTTGACATAATTAAACAATCATTCCCGAATCTATTATCTAAAAGGATAAAAATTGTTTCTTTCCCTTTAGTGTTTATTACCATATTTGAGTCACTATAATACTTGCTAGTAGCAAAAGCTAAATCATGCCTATGTCCATAGACACTCTTCAATGTAATATAAGTTGTAGCAAAATGAGTAGCTCTCGTATGCACTATTTATGTACATTTTGGTCTTTTCTTAACCAGGATAATACATAAATGTGATTATAAATAAATATTGTAATCCTCAATGCACCCTTCGCAAGTTTTGTCACATGAGACATGCTATCTATATCATTTAAAATTAAATTCAAACAGCGTGTATCTCATGGTGACCAATAAATATTACTATTTTTCTCATGCAAGAGCTAAGTTGCTTTTTGATAATTTGTTGCATTATCGGTCACTAGTTGCACAACATTTTTTTGGCCAATCTACTCAATGACTTCAAAAAATAAAGATCACAAAATCGTAGTTTCTCTATTTTTATCGGAAGCATCAACAAATAGCATAAAGTTGCTCGACGTGGACAATAAACTAAAAAGTTTAATAGTCTACTCCTGGTATCTGTTCACCCATCAGCCATCAAAGTGCATCTCAATAGTCTACTCTTGGTATCTGTTCACCCATCAGCCATCAAAGTGCATCATATTTCTTTCCTTTTATAAGACTCAACAAGAAGCTTACATTCTTTTTTGCAATCCCTTAGCAAATTAACTCTCATTCTGTGATAAGAATGTAGCTGATATCCATGACTTATTGGAGCTATTGCATCAATTTCTTTTGAGCATTAATAGAATTCAAAGCATTGAAAGAATGCAACTATAAAAAAATCACATTGCAATTGCCAAATTAGTTTTTTGTACAACCTTTTTTGATGCTAAAACACTTTGTAAAGATGGTTGTGATCCAGGCTTGGTTCTGGAAGCAAAATAATTGTCAATTTCATCTATTTTTCTCTTTTCTTTATCAAACCATTTAGGTGAAGAAATTTCTCTTCTTTATTGACACTAATTGATTTACTATATGGGTGTACATTTTCTGTGTCCTCTTGAACCTATTTTTTTTTCTTAGATATATTTTCAAATGTTTTTTCATTTGGTGACGAACATCTTGCGGAACTTTCTTTAATCTCCGCTAAATGCTGCTTCATTCTATTTTTGCCACCACCTTTATGTATCTTTCCATAATTCAAGCACCTGAATAGTTTCTTTCCATATGAATCTTTACATTCAGTGAAATGTTTCCTGGATCCATTTTCTCACAAACACAATGAGAAAAAATGATAGGT